CTGGCCAGCTCTATCTCTGAGAGCCAGTTTGGGGTAGTGGTTAAGTGCGCGGCGTGGACTCTAATCTGGGAGAACCGCGTTTGATTCCCCTCTCCTTCACTTGCACCTGCTGGGTGACCTTGGGTCAGTTCAAGTTCTTTCAGAGCTGTTCTTGAAAGGACAGTTCTGGAAAGAGCCCTCTCAGCCCCACCTACCTCACGGGCCTCCTGAGAAAAACATGGGCCCCCTGAGCAAAAAGTTGTTAGCTTAAGCTGCGATGGTTTTCTCTTTCTCGCCTCTCTGCCCTGCCATTTTTGAGGTTTGTTTACTTTTAGTAAAGTTTCCAAAGTCTCTGTTATTCACCAGAATGCTTAACTGCGCTCTTGTGTGCTTCTTAAATCAGTTCTTATAGCTTTTACGTCCGGCTCCCTCCTTTTAAAATGATCTGCTTAGATTTCGTGTCTGGGGGTCCCCTCCCCCGCTCGCTTAGATCGAATGGGCTTTCTTGCCGGAACTTGGTATTCTGCTTTCAACATGACTCACAGTTCATCGTTGGTCCTAAGACCCACCTAAAATACATGCAAAATGCCCCACACGCTTGCCCCAGTCAGTGACTCTCAATCCATACGGTTGCACAGCGGCAGGACCTTCGGGGCGGAGGTAAGCCTCAATTCTCTGGCATCGAGCTGGAAAAGAGGCAATCCCTCAAAAGCCCCATGGCTAGGAGTCCAAACGTAAGGACTCTGGGAGGGGTAGCGGACAATCACACCCCCTCCTAACCGCTGGCGTACAGATCACGACCCTGGGAGCTCTCCAGGGTCATGTTCGCCATCGTGCCGCCGAAAACCGGGACTCCTGTTTCACGATTTTCTTCAGACATCAACCTTCTCTAGCCCAGTAAATTTATTTATTTAAGAAGTTCCTTTCCCTTCTTTTCTTGGCCGCTTTAGAGAAGTGGGGAGGGGGGATTCCTCACCTCTCCCTTTCTTTCCCCCTTACAAATGATTTAAAGGACTAATCTGTGTAAAAGTTTCTAGTAATGTTGCAATTAAGGTTACTCACAGTGATTTATCTTCTTGTATTGTTTTGTTGAGATGTTCTGTTTCCCCCTTGCCCCGGGAGTCATGAATTCACGTCCATGGCTGCCATGGATGCTCTTGCTGGAGACGGTCTCAGACTTCCACCTGCTTGCTGCCGCTCACGGGGAGTCTTGAGTCAAGCCCCTTGCCATGAACTCCTCTCTGGAGAGCTCGTTGGAGTTCGGGAGCCCCCAAACTCTCAAGGATCAAGTGACCGGGTGGCTT